ATAGATAGATAGATAGATAGATAGACAGATAGACAGATAGATAGATGGATGACCTGTAGTGTGGTGCTGTCCTCTAAAGCGGAGTTCGGGACTGTGAAGCGAATGGTTCTGGAGAACGAATGTGAAGGAAAGGTGTAACACAAGCGGACAGAGGCAGCAGTCGTCGTGTTCTCGGGATCTTCTCCATTAATGCCTCCTTCCTCTTCCTCTTCCTCTTCCTCTGCACTGCCATCGCCCGTCACCATCACCGCTCCACCTGCGTCTGAGAGGCCAGAAACAATCCTGTCGGACCGCCCGGAGACACTGCGCCCCACAAACCCCCCGTGACGAGTGCCGTACCTCTGAGGGAGACGCTCAGCTGGGTCCTCAGGCACAGGCTCCGGGTCTCCGGCTTCTGGCACTCGGCGACGGAGGCGTCTAGACGGGTCACATGGACACGCTCGTCATCTCTGAGGCACGCCGGGCCGCCTGACACGAGACGGCACACAGATGAACACACTGCAGTGCAGCTGGCCATGGGGAAATATCTGTCGGAGCGTTCTTACCTGAGCCGACTTCACAGCGGATTATACCCTAGAGACCAAACAATCAAACATACGTAAACACTACAAGAGATATCACATCATATTTATAACATACAACGACTCTCTCAAAAAAAACATGCACAGGTTATATTTTTTTGACCCCAAAAAGGAAAAGCAAGAAATTAAGAGAAAATAACATTTATAATACAAAGAAATCCATATAATACAAAATTATTTAATTGTGCTCTTCACATGTCACATTTTTTTTATTCCAATTAAATGAATGTACTATATTTTAGTTTTGATAATGTTTTTTATTTCGTATTTTGAATTTTAGGGGTTTTTACGGTACTAAATTATATTTACACTGTATTTATAATCCATTTATTCACTTTAAGTTATTAGACCTGAAAATTAAATTTCTTAAACTTGAACTGTGGTAAATCTTGTGAGAAAAGCGTGAATGCTTTAAAGCAACAGATCAACAGTTTGATCTCGTTTCAGAGACGACACTTGGCGGATTATTGCTGAAGTGAAAAAAGTTTTAAAAAGTGAACGTTACAGAATTTTACGTTTATTGTTATTAAAAATGTTTTACTCTAAAACTATGGGGAAACCAAAGCCACGTTTTTTTGAGCGAACATCACCTGAGGTACTAATATTATATGTCACAGTAGTTCTTATTACAGCTGATGGATTTCATTTCTACTGATTAAAATAAAAAACAACACTGTATTAGAGTTATACATGTATGCAAATGTAGTGGTTTATAAGTGATGATATGCATAGATTACAGCAGCTCGTCTGTGCTGGGTTTGCATGAGAACACAGACTGAGCAGAAAAACAACAAACACACACAACTCTACACAGCAAACAAGAAAAAGTGTGACTTCATAAAACTCACACACACTCTATAACTCAAACACCCACACACACAAACACACACACACACACAAACATACACACACACACACAAACAAATACACACACTCTATAACACAAACAAACACACTCTATAACACAAACACACACACACACACTCTATAACACAAACAAACACACTCTATAACACAAACACACACACACACACTCTATAACACAAACAAACACACTCTATAACACAAACACACACACACACACACTCTCTATAACACAAACACACACACACACACACGCGCACACACACACACAAACACACACACACACACAAACATACACACACACACACAAACAAATACACACACTCTATAACACAAACAAACACACTCTATAACACAAACACACACACACACACTCTATAACACAAACAAACACACTCTATAACACAAACACACACACACACACACTCTCTATAACACAAACACACACACACACACACGCGCACACACACACACAAACACACACACACACACACACAAACATACACACACACACACAAACAAATACACACACTCTATAACACAAACAAACACACTCTATAACACAAACACACACACACACACTCTATAACACAAACAAACACACTCTATAACACAAACACACACACACACACACTCTCTATAACACAAACACACACACACACACACGTGCACACACACACACAAACACAAGCAAACACACCCAAACACACACACACTCAACCACTCTAAAACACACACAAACAAATACACACACACTCTATAACACACACACACACACACTATAACACATGCACACACAAACACACAACACACACACCCACTCTATAACACAAACACGCAACTCTACACAGCAAACAAGAAAAACTGTGACTTCATAAAACTTACACCCACTCTATAACTCAAACACACACACACAAACATACACACACACAAACAAATACACACACTATAACACAAACACACGCACACACTCCCTCTATAACACAAACACACACACACACACTCTATAACACAAACACACGCACACACTCCCTCTATAACACAAACACACATACACACTCTATAACACAAACACACGCACACACTCCCTCTATAACACAAACACACACACACAAACACTCTATAACACAAACACACGCACACACACTCCCTCTATAACACAAACACACACACACAAACACTCTATAACACAAACACACGCACACACTCCCTCTATAACACAAACACACACACTCAAACACTCTATAACACAAACACACGCACACACTCCCTCTATAACACAAACACACACACACACACTCTATAACACAAACACACGCACACACTCCCTCTATAACACAAACACACATACACACTCTATAACACAAACACACGCACACACTCCCTCTATAACACAAACACACACACACAAACACTCTATAACACAAACACACGCACACACACTCCCTCTATAACACAAACACACACACACAAACACTCTATAACACAAACACACGCACACACTCCCTCTATAACACAAACACACACACTCAAACACTCTATAACACAAACACACGCACACACTCCCTCTATAACACAAACACACACACACACACTCTATAACACAAACAAACACACTCTATAACACAAACACACACACTCTCTCTATAACACAAACACACACACACGCGCGCACACACACAAACACAAGCAAACACACCCAAACACACCCAAACACACACACACTCAGCAGCCACTCTAAAACACACACACACACACACTCACCCACTCTATAACACAAACACACACACACAAACACGCGCACACACTCACACAAACACTCACTCACACACCTCTGCAAACAGTCAAATTCCTAGCAACTGTATCCATGTAGAAACATGTCTGACTCTGAGCTTCAGCGAATCAAGTGCACTAAACTATCAACTAGAAAACAAGTCTGAAAGTCTGAAGCAGGTTTAAAACCGTGTGTTTGGACTTTAGGCATGATCTTAGTTCATCAGTAACTTTAGTTACCGCGGTAAACACACACAGCTGGTGTACTGTACCTGTCCACAGGTGAGCAGATGATCCTCCTGGAGCTCGACTCTCTCCAGCGCCTGTGTGAAGAAGATCCACTGCAGGAGAGAGACCAGCAGCAGAGCCCACACACCCATCACACACACACACACACACACACACACACTCTGGACCCCTGTCTGGACTCACTCTGAAACTCAACAACTGACACTCATCGATTCACAAGAGTCTGAAAGCGCAGCAAACCCAGTGTTGAGTTCATTCATACTGAGAGAGAGAGAGAGAGAGAGAGAGAGAGAGAGAGAGAGAGAGAGAGAGAGAGAGAGAGAGAGAGAGAGAGAGAGAGAGAGAGAGAGAGAGAGAGAGAGAGAGAGAGAGAGAATTTATAGTTCTAATCATCTAAACCTTTTGATCTATGGCTTCTGGTAAATATTAATTTGTATCATCAATTTAGCATCAGAATACTGGGATTTAGAGGATGAATACAATATGTAACTAATATTACTGAAATATAAAAACTATATAAATAATTATGTATACACAAACCTGATATTGTTCTAATTAAGTCATTAAAACGTTACTCGGATGTTCTCTGAGCTCCAGCTTTTTAAAAGAAATGTTTATTTTTTCCCGGTTCTGCGGACATTAAAGGAACATGAACGTTCCATTTGATCATTCAAACACTTGTTTTGAATGTTCTCTGAACGTTGTGAAACAAGTAAAACATGTTAGAGTTAGACGAATGTCCAACTAAAACGTTTGAGGAAAATAAAACTTTCAACGATGTAAAAATAATGTTTTAAAAACACATTGTTAAAGAAAAGATACATTTGATAACGATAACGTTCTATCAACGCTTCCTGTCAGCGGTGGCATCGTAATGTTTCGTGACAGAATATCCCACTTAAATCATGAATACGTTTCTAGAAGATAAATCCTCTCATATAGATGGACGAAACACGTATGTATCATGATTTACACGAGTTGTGAGCGAGTGAGTGAATATTGAGGTTTACCTGGAGGAGAGTGAGTTCCAGCGGTGCAGGAGCGAGTGGGCAGGAACGGCACAGGACAGCTGTTATACTGGGAACTACTCGGCATAACAAATATCCTCCCACACACACACACACTCCACCCAAAGCCTGCTCGTCAGATCAGCACACACACCTCACACTCTTTCATCTTCCTTACAGCGATATAATGACCAGGAAATGACATTTAAAACACTTGCTGAATAACCTAAACACTTTCATTTAAGATTACACACACTCTAATAGATGCTAATGAACAGTTTAACAATAAAAGCTCCTATCATTAGCTTTTTTAAATTAAATTCAGGCAGTTACTCTTTTTAATCACAGTTAATTTCTTGCAGCAGGGTTGCCAGACATTTATTATAAAAGTACAGATGGTTTCTAACACTCTTAAAAAATAAAAGGTTATTTCTCAGCGATGAACTAAAGAACCTTTTCATTAAACAGTTTAAACGAACCATTTTAACCATCTCAGAAATATGTAAAGAACATTTTCTTCATTATAAAAACCTCTGTAGACGTTAAAAGTATTTCATGGAAACATCAAAAATAAAGAACCTTTCATTTTGATGTTTTAAAATCTCGAACTGTTTTAACTAGGATTGGGAATCGAAAATCAATTCTACTAGACTTGTTGTAAAAGTTTCAAGTTCAAGTTTAATAGAGCACATTTAAAACAGCCACAAGACTGACTAAAGTGCTGTACAAGACATCTAAATACCAATCCTAAATATACACACTTACAAATATGATAAAATATACACATTTAAGAAAAATGTCTAAAAAAACTTTTTTTTAATTTAATTTCCTATTATCATCATATACAAAATAACTTTTGTATTTGTAATGTATATGTTATTTATAGGGTGCAGTGTTATTTAACATTTGTTTCAGTTTCAGTTTCTGTTCCTGAATACCTTAAAATCTTAAATTGTTGTATTTTATGAAGTCTTATTGAGTGTTTACTTGTTTACTTGTAAGCGTTCTTTAGCCTGTAGATTTTTGTTCATGGTATTCAGCTGCGATGAAATGCTTTGCAGTAAAGCTAA